AACTTCTTATCGATCACGAGATCTCGCTTAAGACAGTTCACTGTTTGGTTGTTTTTTTTGAAAGGCCTTACCTTTCTTAGTTTGCAAACGTCAGGGAATCCCTTACCCCTCCACCAGTGTGCGTCACAAAAATTGGCGAATCAGGGTAGGGGTTAAAATTATTGGCTCTCATCTTTTTTATTCAGTTCATATATGCTGGTGAACAAATCTGCATTTCAGTTCATGGAAACATCTGCTGCTTCAGAAGAATGACACACTTCATTACCAACATCCAAACGTTTGTAGAAATTCCATCAGCAAGCCAAAATTGCCCTTCGAATGCAAGTAGCATGCAAATCTGAGGTTATCCGTGATGTCTGTCATGCAAGAGTGTCAGCTCAAATTAATTTATCTGGCACTGCCCAATATCTATGTTAGGCTGGGTCCCTCAGTGCTGATCCCCTCCCCCCCCCCACCCTTAGCCAATATTTCTGGCCGGAAAATTTTTTAAAAATTGGAAAAAGTCAACCATAACACAAAACCATTTTCTCTGGACTTCTTTTATTGGCCATGATCCATGGGCTGCTATCTCCTCCTAATCATGCATACAAAATTGGCACTCAAGTCATTATGCCACCAGCACATAACCTATATTGATTTCTGCTGCCAATGCAGGCTGCATGTAACGTAGTCTGTCTGCCTTGACGGCCTGTACTTAAATGTATACAGTGATTATGCTAATGCTTCTATCAAGGCAATTTTACAATTCAATGTTAGAAAAACAGTAATGAAACATACCATATTTGCATCCATGCAATGCTATGCTCACAAATGCAAAGAACATATGCACATGTATAAGCACTGCAGAATGAATGAATCCAGGGCTTTCCTGTTACAGTGTAGGTGCTATCATCAGGAAATAGCCAGCACTGTCCTCAGAGACAATCAAATGCCAACCTTGCATTGCCCTAATAGGGCAGTTGGACCACAATACCATAAAACATCGTGCTATTTTAACAACGATGGCAAGATGGCAACGAAAAATGTAGCCCCTCACCCTCCTCATTGCCTAAATTTCCTACACCACTCCACTGCTCACTTGCATCACCTTGTTATGGCCTACATCGTTGGGTACCAGATAATTTCCAACAACCAATCTTTATGTTAACATAAGGTAGAACTGTGAGTAATTGCTTATAAATATCAAAGCATTGGTGAAATAATTGCATTTCAAGCAGGTTTTTTTGAAGATAGGTCAGGGAGCACGGAAAATTATGCGATGTACCCAAAAATATGCATGCCGCCCAGACTAGCACACTTCTTCACACCTTAGGGGGGAGAGTTGAAGCCTGAACTGAATAAAAAGTAGGAACATCCCTGATTAAAAAATATATGTGACTGGTGACCATTCTCAATCAGGACAAGCACAAAAATGGCATAAATTGGTCTTGCAGAGCTATTATCACCTCCTGTTATTCTCCTTCATGAGGAGTGCCATCGGACTTCAACATCAAATCCATGCCTTAGGGAAAAACAGGGAAAACGGCTGGTCTCTTGTGACTTCTTCAGTGAGTTAACAGGTATTTTCGGTGTCTTAAAAACGCAGTTTGGATAATAACAGGTAAATTTCGACCTTGATCGGATCATCCCGCGAATGACCTTGAGCTGTCGATACCTCTCGTCGCTGAGGACAAGCTGCTATATTACGGCACAGCCAACGAATTAAAAAAGGCCAGAAATTAAACCCCAGGCAGGTATTCATAACACTACAATGCGAATGCAACTTGCAAATTTGGACTGCATTGAAAGTCACCGCCCACTTCATGTCAGTCGCATCGCAACGATTGAAACACGCCCTTTGGGGTTAGATGAATCCCATATCCATATTTTTTTTTCAGTTCTTCATACTGCCTAGCTTAGGACACTGAGAGTCGGCTGTTAAAAACAGCAATCGGCCGACCGGCCGGACCATTCGATACGCGCTGATTTATCGCCGGCCTGCCACCGAGTCGGCCGACCAACTAAAAATCATAGGATATTCTTGCCGTTGGGTTGGAATGAAACCTAGAAAAGATACCAGGGTACCGTGGAGTACCGTAGAGAGTTTTTATAGAAACGTCTGCTTGCTGTTGTGTAACGGAATTTATTACCAAGGAGGCATAATATGTATATGTATAGAAACCTCGCGTTATGTTTTGCATGGTGTGCTGTATTTTTCGTCTTGGCCGCCACCAAAATTTGCTGTCCAAAAAAATTTGGCACCAAGCTTCGCGTGATATATGTATTTTCTTCGCCGACCTTATCGATCAAGTCAGCAGGTTTTACCGCCCCTAACAGCATGCCTCGACCAGAACTATACCAGACAGGTTCCTGTTGTTTTCCTGGGTCCGGGATCACGAACCAGGAAACGGTTGCCGGGAAGAAATCTGGGCAACCAGGCGTGTGTCTGCGTCCTGGGTGTCTGGGTAAGCTTGGACTGTACTGAAGCGCAGTCTAGTTGGCTGTTTTTCCTACTGTCACGGCTACAGATTCCGGCCGTCCGGTTGTAATCAGAGGATTGCTTGGCTACTTTACCTATTGTCGCCGTTAATTTTCGTCCCACCGTCTGCAGTCGTGCTGAAGATGAGGACGAACTGTGGTACCGCACCATCTCGCTCACGTTTATCAACCTGAGCTTTAAATTTGATAAGAAAACATTCGACAGATAGCTGTGCTTATGCCTTTCCCCACAAGACGAATACAAAAGTTTGGAATATTATGGGAGCGACGTGGTTGGTGTTAGATGCAGCTTAGCCGCACAGAGAAGGCTAAATTGTATAACATACAAAATTAGGCCCTGCGCGACGAATCTCAGTGACTCCTTGGCATTGCAAGGCTTGCATGAAAATGCCCTGTGAAGGAGCTGGCAGGTTTTGTTGCCATGTAAACGCGCGACCGCTGTGTCGGATGTATCTAGCGTGTCGCTCAGGCTCTTTGAAAATACTTGGGTCTTAAACATAAAACTTGACTCTTGACACATAAAAACCAAACATTTGTTGCGCTGTACCATAAGATTTCGTCATTGCGTGTAGCAGAATGTTTTGACAAGCGATTCTGAGAATGGAATTCGGTTATGACATACAAATAATAAATACCCATTACCATTGAAACGTCGATCGATGTCCCGTTACCGTGAGAGAAAAGCTTGAAGGTGACGTCAGTCTAGAAAACAAAGTCATCCTTCAAAATGAGCGACTTGCGACACATGTGACTTCAAAGGCGATTGAAGGTGAAAGTCATGTCCGTTAAATTTTGAAAATCGCCCGAGTGGAAGTTACTTGGTCTTCTCCGTGTACTCATGCCATTATCCCCCGCGCAGGCTGAGTTCGATATCATCAAGATTCAAGATCATGGTAGGTCATAGGATGCCCGTAGGCGACCTAATATCGCTGCATGGAATTAAATGACTTGTTGGTCGTGGCGGGAGGTCAGCTAAACCCCATATTGCCCGAAGGCTTGCAGCGAGAAACGTAACTATGAAAAGCTTGGGATCTGCGCAAAAAGAACGCCTGTGACGTGCGCGTTGTTTGCTTTCGTCCACATCAATAGCGTTTCTTCTGACAATATCTCCGGAGCTCATGACAGACGCAGCTCGGGAGTGGCCGCATTGTCGGTCGCCGCGTTGGAAAACCAATTAAAAATTTAGATTGGTTTTACCCGTAGAAAATCAAAAGAATTTGAGCTTTGACCGTTCAATTACAACACGTTTTCATTGGAAACTTTTGCAATTTTTGCCCAAAACGTGCGGGATGCATGTTATAAGCGTGTCCATATTTTGTGTAGACTGCTGTAACATTCCAATTAACATGTAATTTCGTTGGCGCGCTTAAATGTGATCATGTGTGTGGTGTTCACCAATTGTAGCCGTCTAAAGTTGTCTCACTGGCAACCAGTCGGGAGCGAAGCCTCATGCCGTGTCCCCTCGACCGGTCTGGATCACACGGCATGGCGGCAAATGGCTGTTGTTCAGCGTGGTTCAAAGACAATTCCACAACGTTGACATGATGTGTTTGCATCATGGCGAGGTTTGGCACATCATAAGTTATTCCCAATGACTTGTCACGGAGCTGCGCTGTGCGATAGGGAGGCATTTTGCTTCACAGTAAGTCAGGCGCACGACCAGCGTGCGCTCCCCAAGAGTGGCCGTTTGCCTGGATGGAAAGCGGGGAGGGTGAGCTGATTGCATGACTTCATACCACAAATGAACCACCGGAAGCCCGCTTCTTTAATCACTCCGTTGATGCTTCGACATCAGGAAAAGACAGCCAACGTTTGCTCATTTTCCGTGCCCTGACGCGGCGGAGTTATTTCGATGTCGCCGGCTGACAGGAAGCTAACGTAGCGCCATTGGAATGGATCATACAGCCGACTATCGTGTGTCACCGCTGGTCGCCGCCGTTGATGTTCCAGTTCACATTAACATACCTGAAAACACTGTCGCGTACCAAGGGGCGAGCTGGTTCGAAAGTGCTCCCAGATCTTGCATCTTCTGATCTTGACGCGCTCCGAGCGAGTGGGAATCCCCGAACACCTGACTTGACTGGTTTATCTTTGTTCTCGCCATGTACGTGGACGGCACGCTTTCAGGGCGCCGCAGCGCCACTTGCTACCCGATGAAACCGTGACTCCAAGTGAATATGTTAGCACTCGTGGGTTAACAGCCATAGCGACTTGTCCTTGGTGACCTGCTTCCGGCGGTCATTCTCTGATGATCGGTCTCTATTGACCTGTCCTCCGGTGACCTGTTCTCGACGGCTTGTTACTCGTGACCTGTCCCCCGGTGACCTGACCCCGACGGCTTGTTGCTCATGACCTGTTCCTGGTGACTTGTCCCGATAACCTGTTCATAGTAGCCTCCTTCTGGCGACCTGTTCCCTGTGACCTATTTCCTGGGACCGGTTTCCCGCGGCCTGTCCCTGATGAACTAACTCTGGTGAGCTGTCCCTGGTACCCTGTTCTTGATGGCCCACCCTGGCACGTACCGGGCTGTCCCGTCCGGAGGCAGCGGCCGGGCACGGCAGGAAGGCAGGTGCCCCCGGCCTGCACATCCACGTTGACTGGGGGAAGGTCGGCCTCGCTGATCCGCGGCTGGGGCACGCCCGTCCACGTCTCCGCCACGCCCAGACACGGAGCTCCACCTGAAACGAACGGACCGTCAGGCGGCGGACGCGACCTGACGTCGGGATGGTCAGGCGGCGAGATCGACCTGAGGTCAGGCGGTGAGCTTGACCTGAGGTCGGTCACTCGGGACGTGAACGTCTTGCGACAGAACCATGGAATTTAGACAGAGCAACGTGCACCACTGTGGCTGGTGCAAACGTGCATTATCAAAGTTATTTAAATGTTATGAAGCAATAAAATGAGATGTGAATTTATTTGCCACCAAGGATTTCAGTTCTCTGAGCGGCCAATGCGAGAAGGCGAGTGCTAACGACCTGGGCCGTCCATTACCACTTGGGTGATCATGATCACAATCTTAGTTTCAGGTTCAGATCATAACTGGCTGAAACATCCGTTGGTGAATAAAGTGGAAGCATTTGTCCTATGACAAAATCCGAACATCAATTATGCGTACTTAAACATGCTCATGCACCGCCAAGTTCAAGGTCGAATGTTCTACCCATGACACCAAGCTTACCTGGAGATGGGCAAGTGGCGAGAAAGCCGCAAAGTTCTATTAAGAACAACACAGGCATAACCATGGTTGGGTGACAACTACTCTGTCTTGGCCTAAGGCGGGACGAGGGTATATCTATCCTGCGTTTTTCATGAAATTCCAGAACGTGATTGATTCTTGGGCTGTTAAACCAGGTAAAATACCGTATCACCAAAGTTACGGCTTTTGCTCTTGATCCTGATACATAGCCTGTCTCAGTTCGAAGCCGGATAGGCAATACATTTCACTGAGCATTTCCTCTGCGGGCTGACTCAGAACACCAGTGTTGGCATGCCTTAAGCCAGCTGATTTTCCGTCGAAGGCGAAAGACTGCCTGCGGCGCCAGGGCACTGCTCCCCAGCTCACCGGCTGGTGAGCAGCGCCCGCCCATTTGCGCCGTTCTCGCTTGGGCCGTGCGGTAACGAGCTCTACACTCCTCTTTGTTCCGCCCGGCAATGCACTGAGAGCCGGCAATGTCGTCGATTGTTTCACATGACACATTGCAGGTCATGACACTGCTGCCGCAATTCCGCCCCGTGCAATGATATCATTTTTGAGGCATGGTTTGTAGCTTTGCGAGCACACTGCACCACGGCACGATAGCTCGCCAGTTCGAACATAATCATTGCTGGTTGTGTACATGTGCTGGGATCACTTATGAAGGTCATGGCAGCGCAACTCAATCATCGCCTTTTTGCTTTTGAGAAACGTCGCCAGAGCAAAAACAGTATGACCGAGAACGACGTTCAATGCACCGTGAGCAGGACTTCAGCCCGGCGACCGCGGGCACCGTAGTTCATGGCACGCGCCAAACGAAGCCCATAGCCGGCTGCACAAAGCAAAGACGCGACGGCTACCGGCTCCCGCGCAAAAGCCGACACACTGTCTTAGGGCGACGTCGAAACTGCGTAGCCATCTATTGGAGCAGCGCTTCCCGAGGGGCGGCGCGGAGCCGAGGCTGCCTGACAGCCGGGATCTGCGCCGCACCACCGGGGCGGCCGCGCCCGATGCCGCGGGCCCCGCTGCCGCCGCGCCGCGCGTCTCCGACCAGCGGAGAGACGGGGCGCGGCACGGCTGGAGGGCCGGGCCGGACGCGGCACGGCGCGCCGCTACGGAGAGATGCTGCCTGACGGCCGGCGGCCTGCCAACTCCCACGGCGCCCGTGCCGTCGCTCCATCGCGATGGAGATGAGCGGCGTGGGGGGTGGAGTGACGTTGGAGCGGGCCAGACGGTAGTATTAGCCTGGCACGTTCGGCCGAATAACGGCAGGAAACAATCCATATCAGGCTGAGCATTTGCTGAAGACAATGAATAGTGAATCGTTTGAATATCTGCACGGTTTTCTTCTCGCGATTGCTATTTACTGTCACGACCAGCGCTCTTCTTATGGCCGCTTTCGGTCGCCTCGAGCGAATCATTTACGGTCAGGGTTGGAACGATGCTCAGCTTCAGCCACAGGAGTGTAATTTTCTTTTCATTTGGGAGAGATGGTGGGCTTCAGCCCCCATCATCACCTACAGACGTCAGGAAAACACGCATATAACACATTATACGAAAATCCCAAACTGACGGACGTGACTTTTATAAGCGTGACGTCAATAAAGTATTCACGGCAGGGTGGCGTCTTCAAAACAGCAACAGTATTTTTGATTGATTTGATTTGCTTTGATTATGAAAGGGAACACAGGGTAGATCTACATGGAGCACTGAAAATTAAGCCAAGACATAGAGGGAACCAGATTCATTTAGCAAAAGATAAGAGGAGACATATGAAGAGACATATGTTGTTTAGTCAAAGGGCAGTGAACCATTGGAACCATTGGAACCATTTTTCTTATATGATGCTTGTTTCAATATCCTTAATAGTGAACCCCCCCCCCCCTTAAGTTCTTCTCTTTTGAGCCTCATTTCCCGTCATAACTAATAGAACTGTCCAAATACCTGTGTTGTGGATCACAAAACACGCTTTGTGTTCGAAACTTGCATTTAACGCATTAAGCTGGTTAAAAGCCCACTGAACGTTGGAGCGACAAACAACAAGCCAAGCCAGTGTCCGTTCATGTATCGATTCTGGCTGACGTACACCAGACACGAAACAGTTAAAGGGATTATTATTCTTGATCTTGAAATAATATGGCCATTAAATCGAATGTTCAACATTTGCATGGGGTTTTGGACTGAAATAGCCATCTTTAGGACCTGTTGATGCAGTTCACGGTCATCTCCTTTTTAAGACCCAAAACGCTCTGGTTCCTGAGTTACACGCCCGCAAAAGTGCGAAAAGGTTTATTGGGAGTCTACTTCAAAATCACTTTGGTATTAACGACGCCATAGAAATGTTCCGCGACCGCGGTCATTCTACAGGCTGTTTTCTGCTTATGGTCAAAACAGCATGACCGCTGATACATCCGCGAAAGCTATGCTGCGGCACGTATGATACAATGCGCGGAGGGTGATTTGCGGTTAGTTATATTTCGTTGCTGAATGCGTGTTGCGAACGTAAACGTGAGCATCTTTGGGTTTTTCGACACTCGTCTCAACGGGTCATTTTTCCTTATTTTTAGGCCGTAGGTCAGTGTTATGAAAAAGAACGTCACTGTCTTCAAAAAAGTATGACACCCAAAAAAAGGACCCTTTCCCCAATGTTATAGAAAGACGCGACGACAAATCTGTCTTTTTATCCCGCTGGCGGTTTTTTCTTCTACTAACGTAATTCTTACAAACAGCTCGATTGGCGCCTTGTGTACTGGAGCACAGAACCTTGCACGGGTTTATGGGTGGGCAAGGCATTACACAATTAGGAAAATATTTCAGTAACTTAAGCTATATATTCTACTAAATATTTCACAAATGTTCTACGACAAATGTAAATCTTGAACAAAAGGTTATGCTCTACAAGTACAACCTCTTGAGCCGCATTACCATGAACCCCCCTTGGGACATTGTCTTGAAAAGAGGCCACGATGAACTGTGGTGGTCTAACCGAAACCTGCGCGGAATTGCGAGAAAACCTGCAATTTGATAGTCCCGCGGGCTGTGCAAGTGTGAGATCACACCTATTTGACAAAAGAGAGTGAACCAGGGGTTTGGAATGGGTGTGATCTCTGGTGGTGTGTACCGGTGGCTTGTACTGATCTTGATGTGGTGGTGAGTGTGCGTACGGGGTTTGTGCCCCTCAGAGAGAACATTGTGTTGGCATTCTTTAAGCCTACTGACTCCCAATAAATGTGATATATCGATACTTGCCTCCACCTTTATCTTTGTTTTTGAAAATATAAGAAGGTAGTGCCGGCAAACTAAAAGAAACACCAGCACCTATGTTGCAGGTGAGTAAAAAGACAATTTGGTACTACATTATGATCTTGCCAACATTTTAAACCTATTGCGGTGTTACAGCATGTAATTAATTCATTGCATGTCATGATATCAGCAATTCATTTTGGCAGTAGGGGCCGTCTGCAAAAGTTCACATGAAACGGCTTTGCAAAATTGTCTGTCCCTAAAGAAGTCTGAAAATATAGCGCTGTATTATTATTGATACACATATTACTGCCTCCACCAATTTTGTACGCAGGCAAGCATTGCTTGTGAGTCCTCAAATGTTTTAGTCATTGCAACTTGTGTGAGGTGCTGCGTGCCGAGTAAGAAGTATTGCTGTTGGTGTCTTTGATGGCATTTAATTCTATTTTTACCACGAGCCTAGAATGCACTGCCAGCGTTATCACTTCCTGCCATCTCGCCCATCTAACCATACGGCATACACTTTTCACGTATCCAGCCTTGTGCATGGTCCGCATTTTAGCAACATCATTTCACCGCACGTAAAATTGTCCTGCTATTTGTTTTATTAAAGCAGCCTGATGGCTGTAACATGTTGCAAGACTGTGGAAGTGGAAGGCATCTGTGCATCTTTGTCACTGAGGTTTTGTGGATTCCCAAAACAGGCTGAGCAAGTGGCGTCGTTTATTGGTTTTCTGTTTTGCTGATAGTGATTTGTATATTGCATCCTGTGCTTTTGGTCAGTCATAGGTCAGTTGTGAAGTTTATACATGAGTGCACGCTTGACCCATCTTTTCATGACGGAATTTAGTATGAAAGCAGCAGGGATTGCGGTACAAAAATCATATCGTTGTTCATTATGTCACACCACAGTACAGCACTGAGGTAGTTCCACAATGACGCTGTTGAGTCGTGCCATTACACAATGTACGACACTGATTGACTACTCTGTGTCAATCCCATGGGACGGCAGCTTATAATTCATGCATGACTAGTAGCAGCTGGTTTAACAACGCGAAAGGGCTATCAACAGCACGAATATTATTGCACCACAATGGTTACATCAGGGTTAACTAGTAACTGCATAAATAATCCTAAGCAAGAAAAAAATTATTGGTAGCCCAGCCTTGCCATCTTCACCATGGCAATAACCAGGCCCTGACAACCAAGTCATAGCAATGTTACAAATTCACTAATTTTTGC